TTGTAATAGCAATGGATAAAATCTTAATCTCGGTGCCTGCAAACATACAAGAAATGAGCATTTGTGTAAACAACTTTGTAAAAGATTTTTTTTAAAAAAAAGATACATAGACTATATGAATTGTATGTGATAAACTCTTCTAAACTCTAAAGAATAAGATAGGCAAAATGATTTTCAACAAATGTTTTATTGATGTTTGTTATCTCAGCTAAATATCATTTGGGCCAAATTAATGATCCTCAAAGTTTTCATTTTTTTCTACAATCTGTTTACTCATTAGCACATCAGGATTACTGATGCTATTATTGAGAACATGTGTATGCCATGTCTTATGTTGCAGGATATGATCCTAAATCATATGGTTCTTATACTGAGAACACATATGCTGCTTTATACATGTGACCTTTGAAATGATCTATCTTATACTAATTCCTTAGTAATGATTGTCTTGACTACACTCTTTTTAGGATACACTAGTGAACAGAGTCATAAAATAACTCATAAACTTGGAAAATTTCACCTATCATTCATTGCAAGCCTCAACACTGGTTATCTTCAACTTTCCACATCAGCTGCTACAATTTCTCTCAGGATATAATTATATCCATGTTAGTTCACTTCTATTTTCTTTACTCAGTTTAGAGGAAGATTTTTTTTTTTTTTTTTTTTTTTTTACCAAACAAGATTTAGAACAACTGAGGGATATCAATTTTGGGGAAAGACATTATGAAATTGCATAGTAAGAGAATAAAACCTTTTCAATTTAATGGAGTACATATGTATTGACAAAAGATAAAAGAAGTTCACATCATAAAGGAAAATAAATGTAACTCTAAGAATAGTGTATTTTCCCTCCAGATGGTTCATTCGTTATTCTTAGAATGTATTTGATCTTTGGTGTTTTTCCAAAGTCTGAGCCAAAGTGAATATTGTCAAAGGCATCCTATTAAATAAGTAGATCATTCCCTGCAGCCCTTTCCATTTAGTGCAATAAATGTTTGCTAATAATGTCTACATGCAGGGTAGTGATACAGAAAGAAGGGAGAGAGAGAGAAAGAGAGAGGAGGGAAGGAGGGAGGATCAATGCTTTAATTCTTCTGAAGGGGGGGAAAACCCACTGTAAGAATATAAGCAATAATAAAACAATTCAGGGCTGGGGTTGTGGTTCAGTGGTAGATCGCTTGCCTTGCACGTGTGAGGCATTGGGTTTGATCCTGAGCACCACATAAAAATAAAATAAACAAAGTAAAGGTATTGTGTTCATCTACAACTAAAACATTTTTTTAAACCCAACAATCTAGAGTTTAGTAGTAGGTCAGATAGCAAGTACTATTTATTATCACATGGGACACTCTGAGCTAGATACTGTGGCTACCAGGGAGAATAAGAAGATGTGGTGTTTGTCTTCAAGGAACTTACAGTATATTAGTGAGGAGCATACCATGGTGGGGGCGGGGAGGAGATATGAAATGTGGAAATCAGTAGATCTGAAAGCTATCATAGTACTATAAATTAACAGAGTACCACGTTATTGCACAGTGACTTAGTCGGTGGGTCTGTTTCTCTGAGGAAGTGACATGTAAGCTGAGATGAAGGAGAATGCACTAGCTGGAGACAGCACATGCAAATGATTATATTTCGGGAGAGTAGGAGTGCCGCAGTCTGGCTGAGCACACAATCACAAGCCACCACACACCTTGTAGATTCAAACAGCAACTCTTTATTCCCGAACTCACACCAGCCGTCTATAATCACGTTCTGGGGAAATCCAGGTTCTCTGCCCAAATCCACATCCACTGGGCTTCTGTCTCCCAAAAAATACTGTCTGAATCCCGTGAGAACTCAAGGGGAACTCAGGCAGCAGGATACGCCCTATTCCCAGCAGGAATAATCTTATACCTTAAACCTGGAACCTAAACTGGGAACGCCCTAAACCCGATTATCCTAAACCGGGAACACCCTAAACCCGGATCCGCCCTGGTCCTTGAGCAAGGTCACCTACATGCAATGTCACTGCAAAATGTCCTATTTCCACGAGTCCTTCCACTAAGCAACATGGGGTACGCTGGCAAGGAGATTGTCATACCTACTTGGCTAATGGCTCCCAGCATAGGAGGGCCATCCATCACCTCCTGAGGGCTGAGAGAGTGAGGGAGCAGCTTCAGAACCCAGAAGAAGAGAGCCAGGCACCATCAATCCTGAAGTGATGCTGCAGAGAAGGAGCTGAGAAACCTACCCCTCCTTCTGCTCCTTCACTCCTAGCAGGGGCTTCCTGCTGGCCAAACCCAACCGGAAGCCAGTGGGCAAGAAAGACAGGCCCAAACAGGTCAGCTTCTTGACCATGGACATAGTTCCAATTTGGGGAGTATGTTTGTCCGTTTATTATTTACCTGGAAACTTTCTTTTTTTCAAATAAAATACCTTGAAAAATAGTATATAATCAAAGATATTATTCAATATCTGTTAGAATCTCTAGATCCAATTTAAGAATTTAAATGTGACTTTATTACAGAATTAAAATTATTGATGGAAAATATTATATTATGAAAACACTTAGAATATACTAGAATATACAAATTGGAGTAAGTCCTAATGAAGGTATTTTTTTTTTCATTTGAGCTATATTATTTCCTCTATTGGAGAAGTCAAAACCTTTTAGTAGCCAATAAAATTTTGGGCAACTTTATGCAAAATAAACAACAAAAAGACAATCAAGCCAGGTGTGGTGGTGCATGCCTATCATCCCAGCAGCTCAGGAGGCTGAAGCCAGTGGATGGCAAGTTCAAGGCCAACTTCAGCAATGTAGAGAGGTCCTAAGCAACTTGGTGATACCCTGTCTCAAAATAAAAAAATAAAAAGGATTGGACATGTGGCTCAGTGGTAAATGCTCTGGGTTCAATCCATGGTACCCAAAACAAAAACAAAAACAAATAAACACATATATAACAAATTAGAATAAATAAATAAAATAAAAAAGTAAAACCAAACAAATAAACACCAACAACAAAAAGAACTGGAACTCCAACTTTTGGAAACACTACACAGTGATTTATTATGTCAGATGTATTTGAATTATTAACTAAAATCCCAAATGCAGTGGTATTACCTCATCAATCATAGGTTCATACCAAAATGAAGAGGAAAATAAAATGAAAAGTAGCAGCAATTTTCTTGAACTCGGGGCTTTATTAGTCAAGACTTTTGGTTGTGACAGAACTTTACTCAATGGGGGTCAAGCACAAAGGAGAATTTTCTCATCACAAAACTGAACAATACCGTAGAAGTGGCTGCGGGCACTTGATCCAACACTCAAATCATGTTGACAGACGAGGCTCCCTCTCTTTGCTTCATTGCCAACCAGTCACCTTCTGGCTCCATTCTTTCCGCTTCACTCTTCCTACCTGCGACAGGGAAGATGGCTGAAGGTGGCCATCAGCAGTCCAGGGTGGAACATCTTCCTTTAGAGTTTAGCACAACCCTGAGGAGGAGGGAGGAGCTTTTTTCCAGAGAAGACAAGGATTATTCTCAGCAAAGTTGGTCCTAACCTTAAAAATCAATTTAACCTCTTTGAAATGCGCTTTCTACATTTGTAAAAGGTTTGTAAATTTAAATGAATGTTGCACGTGAAGTGTGAGGGCTGAGACAGACACAAGGCATTCAAGGAGCCATAGTTTAAAGGAAAGAGAAAGTGGGAGCTGGTGTGCTTTGCAGAGAAAAGTGATAGCATTAGTTATGTTCCAGTAGTATCTGAGAGCAGGCAACCAGTGACAGAGACCCAGGATTTGGGATTAACAGTTGGGAGAAGCTATGGTTAGAATCATGGGAGTTTATTGCAGATTTTAAGGCCTTTTTGTTCAGATCAAAGGCATCCCAGTTCCCCATAGTTACAGACCCAGGTTTTGAGCTGGGGAGGGCTCCGGGCCATGGGGTGGCTGAGTCCTGGAGGTGGGTTGGAACAATTTACCTCCTGAAACTCTTGTGCCAAAATGAGATTATGTTCTTCTATTGTTCTCTCAGGAGATCCTTGCCTAGAGCTTGTGTTGTTCTTTTTTCTCATTGCTATTTTTATCCATTTGATGGTGTCGTTTTTTCTAAATTCTCGTTTCATTTATTTCAAACCAGTGATTAAAAAAAAAAAAAGTCCATGCCACTATTGTTTCCAAATGCCATGTGAGGTCATGGAACATTGCAAAAAGCAACGAGGCAGATCAGAACAGTTCCTTCTGGGATCAGATTCAGAATTTACCTGAAGGGTAGTTTTTCATTGAGGAATCGGTGACATCCAGAGGGTCCCCTAACATGGGGAGAATTCGGGGCAAAGAATACAATTGTGGACTGTAGGAGTGTGGCGTCATGTTTAGGATGATGTAAATTACCCATCTGTAGAATCATTTATAGGCTCTGTATAACTTTTCACATGATGCTTAATTAATTAGTGGTAATACCTACCTCTGTGCTTACATGATATGAGAAGGAATTTATTCCTAAAAAAGACAAAATTTAGTAACAGAATAGGTCTCTTAGTTTTTGTTGCTACTATAAGAAGCCACTATAGACGTAAGTGTTTAAAACAATACAGATTAATCATTTCACAAGTCTGGAAGCCAGAAGTTCAGGTTGGCATGGTTGATTCCTCTGCTCCAGGCTTCACGAGACCAAAATGAAGGTTTTCACCAGAATATATTTCTTACTGGAGGTTCTGGGGGAAGAATTTGTTTCCAAGCACATTCAAGTTCTTGGTCAAATCCAGTTTCATGTGTTGGTACTACTGAGGTACTACTTGCTGGATCTTGGCCTAGGGGTTCTTCTCAACATTTTGGGACAACTTTATTCCTTGGTTTATGGCCTCCTTCCTCCATCTTCAAAGCCAGGTTTGACAGAAGGAGTCCTCCTCACACTCTGAATTCTTCTGACTGTCGCGACCCCTTGCCCGCAAGGAAGACGCAACTCGAGAATCTTCTTTCAACAGTTTATTCAGGCCCTTGATGTTTCTTCTTCTCCTCCTCGGATTCCCCTCCCAGCCTTAATAAAGCATCTCAAGCCCCAATGCAAAGCTGCCACGTGGAGCTTTCTCATAGGGTGGTGAAAAACCATGTGCCAACTCTCCCAAATAAGGAGTTGTTTGTCACAGACCACAGCTGAGCCAGCGCCATCTTGTAATGGCGACCATAGTCTGCAGAAACGGCAGAAGCGGCTCACCACAGTTCCCCCTTTATGTTTTCTTAAAACAATACAGGTGAGAGTAGAGGTCCTATCCCACTGTGCAGAAGTGGCTGCATAGTATGGCTCAGTCCTAAGGAGGGCCCTTCCCCAGATCTGAGGCCATATCAGCCGACGCCTTTTTTCGTGGGGCGGGGCTTGAACGCGTCTAACCTGCATGCAATAGGACATGCTCTCCTTGAGGTCCAGGTCAAGGATCACTCAAGTGCAGTGCCTTGCCTTGCATCCTGTATCGTGATGATGGTGGACGAAGGGGGATAGCTGAGGCTGAACTGTGGCTGTTTATAATGACAAACAAGTTGACAGCACCCTGAAAGAAAGGCACGGACTTTAAGACGATAGAAAAGCACTAGTGTGGAAACCCATCTGCGTGCAATGGCAGTAAGACCGGCAGAGTGCAAGGGCTTTCCAACACTAAGAGAATAACAAGGAAAGTCATGTCGATCCCAGTACAATGTTATAATAACTTGGGGTGTAACGACCATGACAAAGGTTTACTGTTTAAGATGCGCAAGCCAGACTTGAGGTGAGTTGCCATTTTCTAAAGCTGCAAGAGCTTGTATGATCATAGCCTTATCGTGAGCACTGCGGGCCTTAAGGCGACAGAGAAACCACAAACAAAGTACAACACCGAAGCAACACATTGCACCAAAAATGCCCACTCCCACCCATTCCTTAAAAAAGGAAAAGGCAGAGGATAGCCAACTGGTGAATTGACCCAAAGTCACTGGTTCGACACGGGTGCTATTCGGAACAGCAATCTGAGTTAGTTGAGACTGGATCAAGTTTTCTGCTTCCATGGACCAGGTTCCGGATAAATATTCCCCGATGATGCGGGAGGCATTTCTGGAATCATAAAATCTGACAGAGGTTATACATAAATGTGCACGTTGATCAATACAACCCAAATGTACTAGGTCAGACAATTCCTCAACTTGAGCTTGAAGCAGATCTATCCTTTGATTAGCAGCTAGAATCCCAGATAAAGTGTGTTGATTAATTTTACTTTGAGACTCAAGTATGGTGGATGTTTGTTGAATAACCTGATTAATAGTGGCAGCAGTTTGTACCTGGCTGGCCATGGCTACTCCAGCTGTAACTGCTGCAGCAGCAGATATCGCCACAGCTGTCACCATAGCTGCCGTAATTCCAAAATCTCTACAGGCTCTAATCAGTTCAACAATAGGAAATGACTCTGGATCTGAAGTAACCGGGATCGGGACAAAGGTTGGAAATTTCATAACAATTGCCGTAGTCCAGGAGCCATTCCAACACTCAGACAAATAACAGGTAATATTAGAACAATTAAGCATCCCCTGTGATGTAACATTAGCCAAAAGAAACAGGAACGGAGATTGGAGACGGACTGCTGCGGAAGGTAATGTAGCATTAGATAATTGTGAATTATTTGCAGAAATTTTAAGCCTCCTACCTCACTCCGAGTCTTGGGTACTGCCAGAAACATTAAACAGCCAACTTTGGACTCCTAATATTTCCCTGGGGAAACACAAGCGCGGACTAGACTAGCCCAATCTGAGGGAGTCATGCAAAATCTAGTAAGTCCCTCCACCTGAGTGAGAGTGAAAGCGGCATCTATGCCATAAGTGCGGACAGATTCTGCCAAGGTTTTAATTATCTTAAAGTCTAAAGGCTCATGATATCTTCCCCTGTTATTGTCCTGAAATACAGGGTATGCAAGTCCCATATCTGTATTAACTGTCCTCCAAACTTGTGCATGAAAAGATCTCCCGGAACCTTGGCTCCCCCCCACATACGGAGGTGGGGCAATCGGCACCATATCTTCTTCTAGATATTCTACCTCCTCCTCCTCAGAGTTTTGTTGACCGATGTTAACTCCCTTCCCCTTCTTACAGTAGGCCTGCGTGCCCTGTGTCTCCTTTTTCTTCTTTTTCATTTTTATCTTATGTAGTTGTTGTAACAATATATCAAGGTCCTCAGAACTCTCTGAGTCGCTTGTGTTCTCAGGCGTTTTTAATTCGGTCAAGTCTGGGTAGAGCCTTCTCCTATTTTTATCTTCAGGCTCTTTTGCCTTCTCACTACTGTTACTTTTAATACTCTCTGCCACTTCACTACATGATCCTTCAGATTTTTTCTCATGCAGCTGCTCAAGAATAGCTTGACCCTCACTCACAGCTTCCTGGCATTTACCATCTGTTATACATCCTCTAACTAACTTCCAAAGTGGTATAATGCCACCCTGCAAGGTACCTTGCTCATGAGCGAAATCTAGATCTTTCCCTAATTTGTCCCAGCTGGGAACCGTAAGACTCCCTGAAAAAGCAAACCAAGGAGCCGCTATATCAGCTTCTCTTAAAAACATCTGCAAAGTACTCTGCTTTATCTTAAGTCCTTTTGAATGTAACAACCCATCTAGGGCCAACAAAATTGGGCTTGAAGAAGCAACGCCCATAATGTTTTTAGAGCTATAAAGAAAGTGAAAGTACAAAAGTCCCCGCTCTCTTCCTTTTACAGGGGAGCGTTCCGTTCTATGAATTCCCCGCTCTCTTCCTTTTACAGGGGAGCATCCCTGTCGTCACAACAACAAAAGAAGCACAAAAAACAAAAGCGAAATGACACAACAAAAGAAACACAGAAAACAAAAGTGAAAGTACACAGTGCAGCTGCAATAAAATGTAATGCTGTCTCTTTCTTTACAGAGGAGCTGCCCTGCTTTCGTCGCGGATCCCACTTACCTGGGACTAACCCCGCTTTGGTCGCGGATCCCACTTATTGGGACTAACCCCGCTTTGGTCGCGGATCCCACTTACCTGGGACTAACCGGTGCACCACCCCTGACTGCTGAAAGTTCTGGTTCCCAGGTCTCGGCACCACTTGTCGCGACCCCTTGCCCGCAAGGAAGACGCAACTCGAGAATCTTCTTTCAACAGTTTATTCAGGCCCTTGATATTTCTTCTTCTCCTCCTCGGATTCCCCTCCCAGCCTTAATAAAGCATCTCAAGCCCCAATGCAAAGCTGCCACGTGGAGCTTTCTCATAGGGTGGTGAAAAACCATGTGCCAACTCTCCCAAATAAGGAGTTGTTTGTCACAGACCACAGCTGAGCCAGCGCCATCTTGTAATGGCGACCATAGTCTGCAGAAACGGCAGAAGCGGCTCACCACATCTGACCTCTTCTTTGGTCCCATCTCTGTTCTAGCATCTCTCTGAGGGATTCTTCTACCTTCATCTTCTGTTTTTAAGGACTTATGATATTATATCAGGCCTACCTGCATAATCCAGAATGATCTTTCTCTCCTAAAGCCCACCTGTTGGCAACCTTGATTCCATCTGCAACATCCCTTCACGGTAGTATCTAGATTAATGTCTGAATAACCAGGGGTGGGAATCTCAGGGTGACATCTTTAAAATTGTGCCTGTCACAGTGAGTTAAATAGGATCACGAGAGCTTCTTCCACAGTGGATTTCAATGGGTTCTTTTGAAGTTCTCAAGTTCCTTTGGAACTTAGGGAATTCTCTGTGAGTATAGAATTGGGGGGTCTGATCTATAGTAGACCTACTGCAGAGTGGAAAACTTCTCCTGTGTGTGTGGGGTGTCCAGGAGAGACAGTGCATATGTGTTTTCTGGAGTTGAACAGAAAGAGACAGCCTGGGAAATGGTGCAGATGGTGTGATGTTTTGAATCTACATGAAGACTGTCAGGATCAGCACCAACCTGAATTTGCATCAGGTACAATTAGAAGCAAGAAATGGAGCAAAGAAGACAGGCTATTGGATTGTCTTGGTTGGTTCTTGGATAGGTTCAGGAGCTTGGATATGTTATGGGCTTAACTTCTTTCCTTCCAAATACATATGTCGTAATTCTAATTCCTAGAAAGTCAGAATGTGACTATAGTTAAAGATAAAGTCTTTGAAGAGGTAATTAGGTTAAAACAGGGTCGTTAGGGGAGGCTCTAGTCCAAGTCATGCCATTATAGGTAGAGGAAATTAAGACATAGGGATGTACAGAGGCACAGGGAGGAGATAGATATCTACAAGCCAATGAGAGGCCTCGGAAGAGACCAACCCTGCCAACACATTGATCTTGGACTTTCATCTTCTAGAATTGAGAGGAAATAAATTTCTGTTTAAGTGATCCAGTCTGTGGTACTTCACAATGGCTGCCTTAGCTGACAAATACAGGGGGGCTTTGATCCTACTAGAGAGGCAAAAAATCCTGTCCAGAGAAAAGCTGGTGGTTCCAACCTGCAGCAAATATCCTTCCTTTAGGGGGGCAACTGGGTTTCCTCAGCTGGTGTGACCATAGGGAGAACTCTAATCCTGCTCACATCTACTCTGGCTTCTTCCTGGTGGTGGGCTCTGGCCACTCAAGGGCACATACTCAGAGTAGGAGTGGGTGTCTCTATCTTGGAAATTGCAGGGTCTGCCCAGTTAAAGGAGATGACAACTTGTTTTAGATACTTGGCCTCCATATTGTCTTGTCCTTCAGGATCTTGCAACCCATGATATTGTGATTCTGTCAGAAGGTGGTGATACATTTAGTTATGGAGTAAAAAGAACACTGAAGTGAAAGATGAGATGATCTGCATTCTTGTCTCAACATTATAAATAAGTAGAAACTTTACCTAGTGCGAGTTTCTGTTTTTTTTTTTTTTAATCTATAAGGTGAAATAGTGGCAGTCCAGAATTCTATAGTCCTGTGAATCATTACTGACCATGGAATACCTACATGATTTTAAATATGAAAACTGAGAAACATCATCATACAGAACTGAAGTTCAAGTTTTTTCTTGTCTTCCTGGGAAGGGAAAAGAACTTTATAACTTGCAATGCTATGGTACTTCTATTGCTGTATTTAGTTATTCACTCATTTTAGCTGAAAAGAAAGATTTCACAATAAGTTCTTCTTGGCAAGGGTCAAAGTTCAACTCAGGAAGCCTCAAAGACTGACTATTAATTTACTTTCTATTTTTAACCACACTTCATTTAGAGAATAATGTTTTCCTCTGTGTTTGAGTGGGACTATAGAAACAGAACTTAGCAATGAAAACACACTTCTCAAAAGCCCTACATAGCTTTAGGAGTGCCTACCCTGAGGGTTATGCCCAAGTTCAAAATGTGGAACTCCGAGAACACAACATTTTCATCTGTTGTTAATCATTGCTGTATGTATTTGATTTCCTAAAGTCAGATGGTTTGTGTTAGGACGTTGCATTTTCAAGTCCAGTAAATATTTGTATGCACATCCCCCAAATGTGTGGCGTAAACAGAATAACTTTCGACTTCCTGTAAATTAACCTTATTTTGAATTTGAAAATACTTGAGGAAAAAAAGCATCTAGGCAAAACTATGAGGTTTGGATTGTGTTCACCTTCCTCAGGATTTGCTTTAGCAAAGATGATGAGTGAGAAGTAGAGGTTCTGGTATGAAACCGCAACACCATTGCTCGGGCAAAATTTCCATTAGCTTCAGTCTGCTCTCTAATTATAATGGGAGTATATCTTTTGAGCAAAATCCAGTCAATATTATTAGTTTGGCAAGCCATTGTACCTAACAAAAATGAATAAAATGTGCAATTTTTGACATTGAAAATATTTTAACTCTAGACCATGAATTTCCTTGGAAAATATATACATCTTTTTGTATGAGCTATACTTGATGAGTTTGGGAGCTCTCAACAGACCCAAGTATATAATTTGTAATTGCTCATCTGTTTTTTGATATCATTCCAACTTTTCTCAAAGTTCTTTTGGGGGCACCGTTAAACAGGTCAGCAGAATTTAAGGAAAACTTAAGAGAAATTTGGAATTAGAAAATACATATTTTTTTTAAAAAATGAAAGAACATTGTTAAGTAAGAATTTAGTGTAATTAGGGTCACATTCCAAGAGCAGAAAAATGAGGGAGAACTGGCAATTTATTGTAGCAACAGGAGTAAAAATAGAAAATGAAAAGCTTTTCTGTATTCTCAAGTACTGTTGAGAGCAGTGTTGTCAGTGGGAGGTTAGGTCTGAACAACAAGGAGTTTCATTTGATCTTCAGATCTGAATTGAAAGTTTTGGCTGGAGCCCCAAATGGCCCTGAATAAATGGGATGTTGCTGGCCTGTGTTTGTTAGGTGGGTTGTGCAGGTGGAGAGAAGGGATTGGAAAGGTATCCCTATAAGGAAGAAATTCAAATACAGAGTAGAATGAAATGAGCTAACTTGAGGGATGAACTTACTGATGAGAGGTGAAAGGAAAAGTTAATGATGGTTTTTGGCAATCGAGGAAGTATCTATAAGAGGTGCCATCGTATCAGGGCCTTGAGGGATGAGTAATAATTGACAAATACAGGTAAATTAACAATGACAATGACACAAACTAAAATTGAACACATTAAGCATTGTAAGATCTTTTAAATATATTATCTTATAACTCACAAAACCTTCATGAGGTACACAAAATTTTGTCTATATTTAGATTTTGTTTCTATTATTAAAAAATGGAAAAACATGGTTAAGTAAGAGTTTAGTATAATTAGGGGCACATTCCAAGAGCAGAAAAATATATGTTAAACTGTTTGTTTTAACTCTGGAAAGTGAGGTAAACATAATTTGACCTATATCACACAATGCATTTGAATTCAGATTCTTTGGCACCTGTGCTTCCTCCAAGAGAGAAGGGCAGTCCATAAGGAGGAGATACTGAGCAGAGAGTTCCATGAGCAATCGTGTAGAAAATGCAAGGTTTTATGTGACTCAAAAGTAAGATGTTTGGGGCAATGGAAAAAAAGAACTAAAAATGAGGTTGGGAGGCGGAACTCAGTGGTAGAGTGTGTGATATGCTTGTGTGGAGGCCGTGGGTTCAATCCCCTATATTAAAAAAAAAATGAGGTTGGGGCTAGATAGCAGAACCTTGAATATCACTCCAAGCTTGTTTTTTTTTCCCCCTCCAGGCAATGTGGAGGTGGTATGAATTTTTTGCATGAGAGTATAATGTGATTTAACTAGTGGTTGCAGTATGAGTCTGGTAGAAGCTTTAAAGACGCATTTGAGAAGGAAGAGTGGAGGCAGGGTAATAGCTACAGAGCTGCTGTAGCCCACAGATATGAGGATGAGGAAGAGAGCTTAGTCAAGGCTGGTGAGATGGGTGAAAGGCAGAGACAGGAGACACAATGCACAGTGTAACTGGATGAATATTGTAACTGCGCTTGGAGAAACGTGAGAAGGGAGGAGTTTCAGACTTTCTGCTGTTTAGTGTATAGTTATGCCATTGACATGAGGGGGATGGGAACAAGAATCTGGGAGAAAGATGTTAGGTTGGAAGCATATTGAACAGATATCCAGGTAGGGATGTCCAGTGGGAAGTTGAGAAATCCAGGCATAGGGCAGGGTAAGGAATTTTGGCGGACACACATAGATGTGGGAGTTGAAGTCATGGAACAGATTGCAGGATAAAAGTGAGGTAGATCAAGGTTAGATCTCCAAGGAAACTAGATTTATAGGAGTAGATATAAAATAGAGAGAAAGGATGGCCCGGTGTTTCATAGAAAATCAGGAAAGGCCTTCCCCAGATTGCTTTTAGTTTACAAATGCCTTATGGATAGTGACAAGGTCTTAATAATTTGACTCCTTTGCTTCATTTAGTGATGTCGTATGTATAATGGGAACCCTACGGGTCCTTGCAGAATTAAAGTGCATATGTGTGTTCTGGAGAACCAAGAGCACAATAGCCTGAGGACAGAGTTGTAAATGTTCCTTGTGCCTTGGCTTCCTTTAGTAGCTGAGCTAGGAGTGACACAGTGAAGGAAAACCCCCTCATGACCAAGTCCATATTCATTTTATCTATCTATCTATATATTTTTTTTCT